GAGAACAGATACAGCTGACAAAGGCAGCCCTATAAGTCACTGTACAGGGAAACAGAAACAGGTGATGCATACCTCTGAGCAATGGAGTGATGGTACTAATATTTACCAGCATTTCTCTGATTTAACTTCTTCCTCTCCACTCCCTCACAACATAGGATAGGCCCAGGACCTTCCTTGCCTCTCCTGACAGATTAGCTTTCTTTAGAGAAGGTAACGCTGTTCCAGAGACTTGATACCTGTTTCTCTGCCATAGCTTCCTGGCTACCCAAAGACACAGAGTCTAGGTCCCTAGGACATCACAGATTCCTGAAGACCATGAAAATCACTGTGTCCTTCATTATATCCTGCCCTGATGACCTTCTATAGGGAGATGAGGGAAGGTCACATCCAGAGGAGCTAAGTGCTACTGTATTTTTATTGCATCGCCTTGCTGTGTTAGAACAAAGTAAACTTTTGTTTTCATCCCAACATTAAGAGTGTTGTTAAAATCACCCTCAACAAATGGGACATAAGGCCAGCTCAATGACCGGTATGTACCAGGAGGCCTAGCAGTAGGGCTAAGACTAGCATGATTTTCAAAATCTGATTGGGGCCTGTCAGGGCCACAGCAAAGGTTGGAACCAATTCCCATTTGGGGGCTATGCCAGGAGAAAGAAAACTGAACTGAGGCCAGTGTCCATATTAGGCAACTAAGAGACTAAAAACAGAAACTAGGGATTGAGGCAGAGATATCTCATCCAGCACTATAGCAGAATTCATAACAGCATCCAGGGTGGTATACAAGACCAGCCAATAATCCAATCCAATAAACATTTATTAAGTACCTAATATGTACCAAGCACTATGCTGAGCACTGGGGATACAATTAACAGGGAAAAAAAGATAGTCCCTCCCCTCAAGGAGCCAATAATCTGAAGGGGAAGACAGTTCACAAAAGGAGTGAAGATTGTGTGTGGAGGGGGGATTGGGATGAGGGGAAGGGAGATGGGACACCATGGGGTACCCAAGGCAGCATCTTGTTCTGTGGAGTTAACCAGGCAGGTGGCCAATGCAAAGTGGTGTCTCCTCTCCCCAGGAGACTCATTGAACTCTCCTAACAGACTGATTGACACTTACTGGGAAGACAAGCAAGACTGGAACCAATGGGGTCACTCAGATTGACTCAGCACAAATTTCATTACCACATTGGATAGAACACTAGATCTGGAATCAGAAAGACCTGAGTTCAAATTTGGTCTCAGAGAGTTATTTGCTGTGTGATCCTTAGCAAAAAAACCTTCTCTGCCTCAGTTTCCTCATCTGTAAAATGGAGAGAATAGAACACTCCTAAGGTTATTGTGAGGACAAAATGAGAATATTTGTGAAGCTCTTTGCAAATCTTAAAGCAGCATATAATAAATATATATTGTATATATAATAATATATAATAAAAAAGACTGAGTCCATTTTCTGCCTTCTATAAAAGAAGGCATTGGGAAGAGTTTGGTACTCTGCCCTCAAACCTTCCAAACAAGGGAAAGGACACTGAGGGAGATTTGTCAAGAAGACTTGAGTTCGCAGCATGGTAGTAAGTTTAGAAGTGATAAGCTTATCCTGAGAGGGGCATCTTGTTCCATGGAGTTGAAACCAGGCAGAGCAGCAGATGTAAAATGGAGTGAGGAGCCAGAAATCATCTCCTTTTCTCTCAAATGCTACCCAGTATAATATTTTTCCAGCTAAGCAGCCAAAGTGATACATAGCTAGAAGCTGGCTGCTCAAGTTCCCACATGATCTGTGGAAATTTTGTCTTAAAATACGGGGGAGAAGGGGCAGCTAGGTGGCACAGTGGATAGAGCACCAGCCCTGAAGTCAGGAGGACCTGAGTTCAAATCCGCCCTCAGACCAAACACTTGATACTTACCAGCTGTGTGACCCTTGGCAAATCACTTAACCCCAATTGCTTTAAAAAAAAATACTAGGGAGGGAAGAGGGGAAAGGCATGTAATACAACAGAATCATAGATTTAGACCTGGAAGGGACTTCAGTGGTCATCTGTTCCATTCCTCTTATTTTACACGTAACCTAGCTTCCATTAAAGCATGGGGTGATTTTGCATGCTTCAGTGGGAGACATGGCTCCTGACTGGCTGAGAGAGTGCTGAGGAAAAAGCTGTGGATATAGAACAGCTGGTTCTACTGATGTCTCAGAGGCACATGTGGAGAAAAGATCTAAGAGATTATGAAAAATCAACGTGTTTAAATAGCAGGCTGCAGCCCTCCAAGCTGTAGACATGAGATGCCAATCCCATTGTGTTTCTTGATCTCTAGGGTTTGCAAGTCAAGTCAACAAGCATTAAATAATCACCAGCTGTGTGCCAGGGCACTGTGTTCAGCATTTGGTGACTTCTGAAATAGGATCTCCCCTGGGTGTGATCATTCTCTTCAGGTTGAACTGAGATCTCTTACTCCCAGCTGAAGAACTCCTTTACTCTCTTGACATAAATTTGCTTTAGGCAAATCTGACTCCCAGCTAGCAATAGGACCCCAGGCTGTCTTGTTTTCAGACTGTTGGCAGCAGGGCCCTGCACCCAGGCACTGAAGCCACTTGGGCTTCAAGGGGCAGGGCCATGCAGAACCCTGAAAGGGAAGTGGAAGGTCTACTGAACCATCTAAGTGAGAACAGTCTGTACTCTTGTGTATTTACTGGCAGAGTTTATAGGACTTTTTTGCTGTTTTACTTGGATAAATGGGTTGCTGATTATTTGCTACTTATGATGGTCTTTTGTATAACTAGCATTTGATAGAGATAGGCTAAGCTGGTGAGTATAGGATAAGTTACCCTCCCCAATAATAATAATAATTATATTAATAAATAATAATTTAATTATAGTGATTAATATATAATAATTATTATTATATGGTACTTTGAGGTTTGCAAAGAGCTTCACAAATATTCTCATTTTGTCCTTACAATAACCTTAGGAGGTTCTATTCTCTCCATTTTACAGATGAGGAAACTGAGGAAACTGAGGCAGAGAGAAATTAAGTGACTTTCCAAGGATCACACAGCAAATAACTCTCTGAGACCCAAATTTGAACTCAGGTCTTTCTGACTCCAGATCTAGTGCTCTATCCAATGTGGTAATGAAATTTGTGCTGAGTCAATCTGAGTGACCCCATTGGTTCCAGTCTTGCTTGTCTTCCCAGTATGTGTCAGTCAGTCTGTTGGGAGAGGTCAACCAGTCTCTGGGGGAGAGGAGGCATGTACTTTGATCCCATCTCCTCTTCCTTTATATTACCTGCTAGTCATCAGGTAGCCACATGTGCTTTCAATCCATCCTCTTTTGGAAACATGCACCTATTGGGATTGTCTTTCTCTTATTTCAAAAAGTTGTTTATAAAAGCAGCAGAGAGATTTGAAATCGGCACCTGGTCCACACAACGTGTTTGCCTCATGTGATATAATAAAATCTTTTTTTTTTTCATTTTCCTGAGTTTCCTTGATTCTTTAGGGTGAAGCCCCGAGATTTTCTTTCAACAGTGGCATCTATTTGGTATTTGAGAAGTGGCAGATGCGTAAAATTCTAGACAAACACCCATCTTGAAGACTGAAGGAGATTGCCTACTCCCTGGGTTTACAAATCCTACCTGCCTTTCCTCCTTTCCCCTAGCTAAGTGCGGGTGGTACAGGCACATCCTTTCTACTCTCTGATTATTGGGCCAGACCTCGGAGTACATCTATTCATGCCACTTCTGAAAGGTTAAACAACCTTCACAAACATATCTTACATGTGGGCACAGTGGAAATTGAAGCTCAGGGAGGTTAAGGTAGAAGAATCTTAAGGGCTGTTGTTTCTTTTGTGGACACCCAATTGCCAAACCCAACGTGCATCTCCAATGTTATATAGTTGAAAGAATACTGAATGTAGAGAAAGAATAAGTTAGCATCTAAGGCTTGCAAAGCACTTTAATATGTAACTCATTTGAGCTATTATTATTTCTCACTTTACAGATGAGGAAACTGAAACTCACAGAGGTTAAGCCACAGAGCTAGTAGTGTCTGACGCATCATTTCAACCCAGTTCTCCCCGACTCCTAAATCTAGATGGAGCACACCCCCCCCAACCCACCCCCTCCAGCTGGTTCTGAATGCTGCGCTTCTGGGGATCAATAGTTCCACTTTGCAATTAACTGTGGGTAGGGGGAACCTGTTCAAGCTCTTTGTTCAGGGGTACCAGGGCTTAACTGTGCACTTTAAACTCATTTGAGGTTACAGCACATCATTCAGTGGCGGGCTGATAAATATTTAACCAGCTCTCCAAAGAAACCAAACAAACAAAAACGTACTTCAAACACTTTTAATTTGCGTAAACATTTTTCTCGGTAGCTTTCTTAAAGCTAGATGATCCACAAAACATCATAATCAAGACCTGATATGCAGCCCTGATATGCAAGTTGCTCATTGAAATTTTAACAATGGCTCTCCGAGAAGCCGGTAGGAGCCGGTTCCAACAGAGCCCAGACTGGATTTGCAATCTTTCCCGATTAGGGCAGGAATTTCTAGCCCCACCCCTGAGAGGAGCCCTGTAGTCGTCACAGCCCCGCTAAAGGCTCAGGTGGCCCCAGGCCAGGCGCATGCGCGCTCGCTGGGTCGAAGCTGGGTCGCTGCAGCAGTCGCGGCATTGCCCAGACTCCTCGCTCCCAACCCCCCACCCCTCCGGTCAGGGGAGAATAGAGTTAGGGAAGCGGAGGGGGCGGGGTCAGCGCCGGCGCCGTGCGGGCCGCTTCCTCTTCCGGCCGAGGGGGAGGAGTTGTGTGCTCCCGCTGTTGCTGCTGCTGCCGCCGCCGTTGCCGTTGCTGCCGCCGCCGCTGCCCGCTGCTGTTTCTGCTTCCTCTGCTTTCTCGCGCCCTCTTTTTTCTCCCCTCCGTCATCAGCTCCTCCTTCCAGCCGTCGTCACTTCTGGCCGCTTGGTCTGGGGTTCGATCCCGTCTGGTGAGACCGCCTCGGAGCTAGGTGGGGGGTGGGGCGCGGGGACGCGGGGACGTGGTTCTAGCCGGGCTCAGGGGGCTGCCTGCACGCGAAGGCGGGAGGCGCGCAGTGGCTGAACTCCGTCCGCCGTCTCTCTCTTCCCTTGGCCGTCGGTGACGGCGCTTCGGTTGGACGTCGGGGCCGACTTGCTCTCACGGCCGAGGTGGGGCGAGGGAAGAGAATTAATTGAGGGGCAAGGCGGGGGAGGGGGAGTGGGGGGGCGGGGCTGGCAAAAGCCTGGGGGGAGGGGGAGAGGTGTCACGAGCGGTGACGTTCTAGCCTTCGTGACGTCAGAGGCTCGTCTAGGCGGAAGGGCCTGAGCAGGTATTTTCCCCTCCCTCTCCCCTCTGAAGAATCCATCGGGTTAGGGGCCTGTCCGCGCCACCGGACTCACAGCTCTCTTCTCCCTGTGACTTTACTCTCAGGTACCTTTTGTTTATTCCTCTTTAGCTGGGAGTGGGGATGGGGGATTGGATGAGTGGTGAGTGAGAAGCCTTTCCCTATTATGACTATCGTGCCCTCCCTTTATTCGTCCCCTTCCTGATAACGCGCATACACCCCACATTCAGATTGTCTAGCCAATTATAAAGAAAAAAGGAGTCATTCTGGGAAGCAGTTTTTTAAAAAACATATTTTGATTTGTTCCTAGTTTCTTTAGGTTACCTTCAGACGATTTAATAACTCATTGCCATGAACAAGTAATATAGTATTTTGATACTTGTAGTAAGGGCTAGGTGAAAACAGCTTCAATTCTTTATTATCCTCCCTTGAATTTAAGGGTTAGCAATTACTTTGTATATAGAACATAGATAAAAATTTCAGTGATATACGAGGTTTACCAAAAGTCTTAGTGCAGTTTTAATCTGTTAAAGGGATTGAAACTACACAAAGACTTTTGGTACACAACAAACGTTAAACAGTATTCTTAGAAGAATGTCAGTTTGTGTGGCTGATGGGTGCCAATGATGGTATTTAACTTAAATTTATTTTTATAGACATCTTTTTCTGCAACTTAATATTTCCATTATATTTCTCCACTCTCCCCTCCATGAGCCATTCCTTACAACAAAAGAATAAAAAAGAAAGAAGAATGAGTAAACTGTCCAACCCATCAACCAAGTCTAGTATTATGTGCATAGTTCTACACCCTTAACTTTTCTTGACCCCCCCCAAGGGAGAAAGGTGCATTCTCATATTTACTCTTTGTGGCCAAACTTTGTCATTATATAATTTAATGGGATTCCTTCCATTGCCTCATATATTATTTTCTTGGTTCAGCCTGCTTCACTTAGCTTCAGGTCATCTGCCTCCCTATGCTTTTCTGTATTCATGATACTCTTTTCTTAAAAGGCAGCAACATTCATGTCCTACAATATAGCCATTTCTTAATCGACGGGCGCCTTGTTTCCAGTTCTTTGATAGTCTGAAAAGTACTGCTATAAATATTTTGATGTTTATAAGATATCTTTTTATTTATCACTGTGCCTTTGACCAACCTCTGGGTCAGAGGTCAAGGCCTGTTTCTTAAATTAATATTGTCTAAACTAGTTTTTTTAAAGCTGTATTCCATAGAACTCTGGGATTCTGCAGAGAATAAAAGCTGTGAGGGATATTAAAAAGTTGTGACATTAAACAAAACTTTATGCTTCCAGTTTGTATCAGGGTACATGCAATTAGAAGGGACTGAAAAATTAGTTTCTAGTAGTCTAACATTTGACTCATAGAGCCATGTACCTGGAATTAGGAAGAACTGAGTTCAAATCCAGCCTCTGATACTTAATAACTTGTGAGCATTGGGAAGTCACTTACCAGTTGTCTGCATCAGTTTTCACATCTATAAAATGAAGATAATAGCACCTAGTTTCCAGGGTTTTTATGAGGATAAAGTGAAATAATATTTACAAAGCAATTTGTAAACCTTAAAGCTCTATGTGAATGTTTACTATTGTGACATTTACAATCAATATGTTGACTGCTAAAATAATTGGTGTCTATTTGTATTCTAGATTTTAGCACCAATGGTCATTATGAATAATTGGGCAAAATTAGGAAGCCTAAAGAAATAGGAAAGCAAAAGTGTTAATAGTCAAAACTCAGACAGCGAAGCAAACATTCACCAATTTCATTGGCCCACATACAGAGCAATACAAACATGACAACAACTGTCTACTATTTGGAAATCCAAATCTCAAAGAATAGTATGTCTTATGTTACCACTTTTTACAAAATTGTTTAAAAATTACAAAGGCATTTACTAAAGAAAAATGTGCATTTAAAAATGTTCATGTTGTTTAATTGAAAATATGATACATGGAAACAATCCATTAGACTAATGAAAATTATTTTAAAATCATCTTTCAGAGATGAACTACCCCATCCAATACTGTTCCTAATTACAAAACCCTGTTAACAACCACCCACATCCGTTTCACTAATAGTTTCTGTACCTTGGTTAGAGTGTGAATAAAAATGGATCTGAAAGTGGGTTTGGTTTTTTTTTATGCTTCTTGGTATCATTAGTAACATTTTTTAGATCATTTTATAAATCCCATCATAAAGTTTCAGTTCAAATTTTGTTTTAAAGTGAAAGGTTTTGATGCTGCCGAAGAATCAGGACTAGTGCCTTAAAGTACCACTTTGTATTGAAAAGCCTCTCTAAGCTGAGGAAAGTAATTCTCTCTGGATTCCTTCTTCTTGGAAAGGAATTTTTAACCATTTTTATGTCGTGGATCTTTGAAGTCTGGTGAAGCCTGTGAACCCCTTTTCAGAATACTGTTTTTTAAATGTGTAAAATACATAGGATTATAAAGGAAACCAATTTTATTGAAATAGAGTAATCAAAAATTTTTAAAAGTTCATAGACCTCAAATTACAAACCCTGCTTTAGAACTATCTTAGCTTGAACTCTCATTTTAATATAAACTGTACTGTTGAAGATAAGATTTAGAATACAGTTTAGTATGTATTAAATATGAAATTAAAATTTTAAAAAATACAATCAAAATGCTGAAGTGATTGGGCAGACTTCTGTCAAATGCCTACTAGCATCACAGATCCAGAGCTAGAATATAGCTCAAAAGCCATATAGCCTAACCCTTTCATTTCACAGATTTGAGGAAACTGAGGACTCAGGGAATTTAAGCAGTTTGCTTAAGGGCACATGGTAGGTAAGCATCCAATATGAGATTTAGATCCAGGTCCTCTAGGTGCTAGGGACAGGGGTAACCCCCCCCCCCAAAAAAAAATCCTTTTCTCCAAGGAACTTATAGTCCAGTAAAAGGACATGAATGTACAGAGATATATGCTATGGTACATAACAAGGGAATTTAAGACCGTTTAACAACAAAGAATTTGGAAAGGCTTCATGCTTCCTCAGCTGAACTTAAAGGAAGCTAAGAGTTCTAAAAGGCCAGAGATTATTATACGTCCTAGTGTGGAGAATAGACCCTTGATCACTTCATCTGGACTGTTGTAATAGCTTCCTCCCTGCCGTAAGTCTCTCCACTCCATCCATCTTCAATTCAGCTGGCTAGGTAATTTTTCTTAAGTATAGGCCTGACCATGTCACTCCTTTGCTCAGTGAATTGCAGTGCCTATCAGTTCCCTGCTGGATCAAATATAAATAAACTCTTCTGTTTGACATATTAAGCTCTGGCCCCTTCCTACCTTTCCAGTCTTATCACATTTAACTTCCACACATTCTGCCATTCAGATACACTGACTTTGAATATGACATTTCATCTTCCATCCCTGTGCCTTTGCACTGGCTGTTCTTCATGCCTGGAATGCATTGCCTCTTTACCTTTGTGTGTACCTATCTATTTGCCTGTGGTCTCCTCTATTAGAATATAAGCTCCTTAAGGTTAGGGACCTAATATTGCCTTTCTCTTTAAGGAGCCCCAGCATATTCAGCATAGTTCTTGATACATAGTAGTTTACAAATGCTTGTTGATTGGCCTTTGTGAAGTCAGGGAGATAGGTGATGAAATGCCCAGTAAAATACAAGGGTTTTGAGGGTAGGCACTGTCACTTTTGTATTTATGTGCCCCATACACAGTGTTTGGCATATAGTAGGCTTTCAATAGGCTTATAGATGCTACGTCTCATAAATATTTCTTGATGAAGTGATTAATGATGTAGTAAGGAATTTCTTTTCAAGTATGGGTTAGAATAGATGACTAATGAGATCACTTTCAGTTTCCAGAGTCTGTAAAAATGTGCCCCCAAAACAAAAGAAAACCAGAACTATAGTTACCCTTTGGAATATTCATAAGTAAATAAGTATATTTGTTGGTATGTTGTTATAGTATTAAAAGAAATGATGACTGGATTGTCATCTCTAATCTTAGTGCAGTAGGAGTTTATTAATATTATATTTATGTGTATTACATACAATATACATATATTGTGTATAGTAACATTATATAGTGTGTTTCAGAAGGAATTTTAATTATCTTTCTAAATCTCATTGCAGTTTTTTTTTTCAAGATATTGAAGATTTTTTTTTAAATCACTGCCGCTGCACAGTGACTGTTGTACCCTACCAGCCCCCCATAAAATTCTTTGTTGAAATACAAATAGTCATAGTCCAGTAAAACAAAACATTGAGTGCATCACCTCTCTGTGAGGTACATAGCATGTTTCATCACTGGTCTTCTGGAATAGTGATTGGATCAGATTTTTTTTAAGTAGTTTTTCATTATATTATTGTTATTTTACATAGATTATTCTACAGGTTCTAGACACTTCATTCTCTATCATTTCATTCAGCTCTGACCAAGTTTGTCTAAAAAACCTATTTCTTTGCTCATTTATTGTGATACAGTAAATTCTATTTTAGTTACATACCATAATTTATTCTGTAGTCCTTTCAGTCATGTGCTCCATCTTTTGGAGTTTGGCTTTTTCTGACTTTTGGGGGCTGACAAAATTTTATGTCTTTTCCCAAAATATACTTGCAGAACTTTAGCTTCCTAGAAATGGCCCTTGGTTAATGAATACAGGACTAATTTGCACAGGGGTGAAGTTTAAGGATGAAATTTTCTCCTTAAGTTCTATCAGATTTTCTAGAATAAACTTGATTTCCAAAAATGGATAAATCAAGGCAAGCATATATGCAATTAATGATCTTTTTATTTCCTTGAATATTTCATATCGAACTTCTTAGAGTGTTGTTGGCTGTGTCATACTTTTCTGTCTTCCATTCTTTTATGTAGTTGTTGACATCTTGCATTTCTTCTTTTGAAAATTTTCTCTTCCTATCCTTTGACCAGGATTATATCTGTACAGTTAGTGAGTGTGTTTTGGCAGATTAACTTTTTGGTATTTTATGACTTCTGCTATTTTTGAATGGGAATTCCCTTTCTATTCCTTCATGGATTTCGTTATTGCTATGTAGAAATGGTTTTGTTTTGTAACCTGCTACCATATTACTAAGCTAGTAATTATCTCAGTTAGTTTATTTGCTTATTCTGTAGGATTTTCTAAATAAACAATCATGTTGTCAACAAAAAGGAACACTTAAGTTTTCTTTGCTTGTCTTTAATGCTTCTCTTTTCTTGTGTTATTGCTACTGGCAACATTTCTAGAACTGTCAAATGACAGTGAGGAAAAGAGGCTTTAACTCAAACAGTATACTGAAAAAGCACTTGTTTCCCCCATTGCATACAATGCTACCAAATGCATCAGAGTAAAACTCTTTTATCAAATGTGTGTAATCAAACAAAAAAAATTCCAGCATAGGCTATTCCTTTAAAAAAAATTTTTTTTCTCTTTGCATCCTGAGTCCACCGCCTGAGTTCTCTGGAATCAAGGTTGCTCATTGCATTGATTAGAGTTCTTAAGTTTTTCAGAGTTGTTTGGCTTTACAGTAATGTTGGTATTGCATAAATTGCTGTCCTCGTTCTCACTTTACTTTGCATCAGCTCATACAAGTTTTCTCAGGTTTCTATGAATTCATTCCCTTCATTATTTCTTAACATTTGTATTTTATTACATTGATATACTATAATTTGTTTAATTACTCCCCAGTTGATGGAGACCTCTTCAGTTATCAGTTCTTTGCCAACACAGATAGTTGTTATATTTTTGTGCATGAGTCCTTTTCTTCTTTGATTTTTTTTTTAAGATTATGGACCAAGTAATGATATTGCTGGGTCAGAGGGTATGTACTACTTAGTAAATTTTGGGACATAGTTCCAAATTGCCTTCCAGAATGATTGAACCAGTTTACAGTTCCACCTGCAGTGAAAAGTATACATTCAAAAGTATGCTTTTTTTTTTTTATAGCATCTTTGCTGATCTCTTGGGTGTGAGGTGGAACCTCAGAGTTGTTTTAATTTATTTTTCGATTATTAGTGACTTGGAGCAATTTTTTTTTCACATGGGTATTGATAGCTCTAATTTTTCTTTTGACTATCAGAATCCTGGAAGAAAGGAAATGAGATTTTTAAAAATCTAAATCCAAAACTAATCAAAAATCTAAAAACAGATTTCTAGAGGAAGGAGTAAGAAAGACTTTATTTTAATACAGGACGTGCCAGGAATGGGGAACCCATGGCCTTCTAGGTTCTCAAGTGAGGCCCTTTGAATCCAAACTTAAATGAAATCCTTAATGAAAGGATTTGTTCTGTAAAACTTGGACTCAATTGAAAGGCCGCACCTAAGGACCTTAGTAGGCCACAGGTTCCCTACCACTGTGCTAAAAGCCTTACCAAAGTAATGACTTCCTTAAAATTAGACTGGACCAAATAAAAATCAATAAATAACTCCATAAAATAAGTCCATTGAGGGAATGAATAGCTCTTATTCGTATAAATTTGAATTAGGTCCTTATATATTATCTTAGAAATGAAACTTTTATCAGAGGAACTTCCTCAGATTTTTTTCTCATTTGCCTCCATCTACTGAAGTGTCTTAAAGAAAAATGACTATAACAAAAAAAAACACTTTATAAGCCACTTTCACTTTCTTTTTCCCATTTTCTTGGAGGCACAAGTCAAAGTAGAATCAAAAGCTCTGGCCTCTGATCTGGTGAGGAGGAGCCAGTTTCGGCCAAGACACAAACAATTTATGAGTCCTCAGATTCTGTTTCCATTGCACTTACTTTAAAATACACTGATGGAGGGAGACAGGCTTGGGAGAGAACATTGCAGCATCCATTACAAGGCAGCATGAACCTTAACTAGATCTTTAAAAAATTGATTTCATTATGGAAGAAATGCTTAATTAAGTTTCAAAAGTATTAAAGTCAAGTTATCAATCAGAATTGAGGAATAAGATATTCAGACATAGATACAAGTATCACCTATGTAGGTGTTAACTTTAAATTTGGTTATGGACAGCACTTACTGAATTAACATGGGTTGGAATTTCTGGTGAGGTTCTTAACATCTGTCCTTTTAGTATTTTTATGCAAATTGTGTTCATAGTAAGACTATCACAGCCCCTCTTAAGTGACACTCATAAACTTCAGAAAATCCACTGGTTTGTGGTTGACTGTCATTACTAAAGGTGTTTGCAGAAAGAACTTTGGTGTTGTTTGCTCAGTGAAGTCTTAAGTTTAAGCTCCTCCTTCACTACTTAAGGTCTTCCTGCAACCAGGACATAGGATCATGCAGTTGCAACCAATATACAAAACAGCTCCTGTGAAGGAATTGGTTGTAAGGTAGATTTTCTTTGTGTAATTTCTTTTGCACACTGGATATTCAAAGCCTGCTTTAACTTGTTTCTGAGTTACTTTCACTGTTGGAGGAGATTGTTTAGGAGAAGCTCAGAGTTTTCCAGTGGTCTGTGTGATGATGGCATCACCTCCCTGACACCAGCCAGGCATATGGTTCTCTGGTTGGAATGTAGCATCTCATTCTGTGAAAGTGTATGGATCCTGGAATTGCCCAGCAAAGATGTGTTGTATGCTTCTTTCGGTTATAATAGACCTGTCAGGTCAAGAACTCCTCTAGGATCTGTATCCCTTAATCATTAGCAGTCTTGGCAGGTGGCCTGGTACCAAGATATCATCATAGATTTAATGACTCTGTTGTCTATCACTGTCTTGGTCAAGTGAATTGCTGCTTAGAAATGGTCTAAAGTCTGGAGGAAATGTTGTGTAGTCTAAATGGTCTCATAGCTTTGCATCTGTTGAATTTCTGTCATCTATCCTTATTGTCAAAAAATCTAGAGTCAACCCTTCAAAAAAAGCCTGATTCACCCCCAGGGCAAGGATAAAGCAGCTTAGGGCTGACCTCAGCAATGGCCAAAGCAGCAGTGTCTGTATGGGGTGAGGTGGGTAGCTGGTACCTGCAACCCCTGTTGGGTTGCCAGGCCACTCCCCTCCAATGATTTTAAAATTATCTCTCCTTGACCTGTTTCCAGTCACTATACGAGACAAAACATTATTCATTTCTTTTTTTTTCTTTTTGCTAGGCAGTTGGGGTTAAGTGGCTTGCTCAAGGTCACACAGCTAGTAAGTGTCATATGTTGTGTGTCTGAGACCAGATTTGAACTCAGGTCCTCCTGACTCCAAGGCCAGAGCTCTATCCAATAAAACATTATTCAAAGAAATTTTTTTTCAGTCTTAGTTTTTGGGTATTATTTCCTGTTGTCTATGGAGTTGTTGATTTCTCTTTGGTACATTCCAATTTTTAGGGCATCTGTTACTTTTGTAAAGTTTATCCTCTGCTGTATTAAGTGGATTATTCTCCTTTCCATTCTTAACTCTAGAACTGTCATTTAGTTTATAAAAAAAATTTTTTCCCCCTTAAAATCTCATTTCATTTCTTCCATTCTTTTATCTGAGGCCTTGTAGTTATATTCTGTTCTTCTAGATTTGTGTCTTGTACTTATAAAATTTCTTTGTGTCTTCTATTTTTACTTTTATTTCCATCCTTCCTGAATTGGGGTTTTGTGTCACGGGTACGCGTATGTGTGCTTCTGAACCTTTGGATGGGATTTTGGGGCTCAATTTGTTCTTGATCTATGTTACCTGAGTTACTGCCACTGACTTCTTATATTTGCACTAGATTTGGGGCTCAAAAAGTACTGGCAGTTTTCTTGCCTGCCCTGTATCTTCCAGATTCTCCAAGGCTCAGGTTAGCTCCCTTGAAACTTTGTGAGTCCCTAGGACATTGCAGCTACTCTCCATCTTCTATCTGCCTCAGCCCTCCTATCCTCATAACAGAGTATCTAACTGGCTTGGGGCTTTCTCATTAGAGCATTCCATTCTTCTGGCTTCCTAATATTCAGTGCTTCAGACTATCCATGTGTCCTCATAATGTTACTGGTCTATACTAGAAGACTTCAAAGCACTGCTCTCACCCCAGCTTTTGTATCTGGATCCCTTCCTTACAGCTTCTACCTCACAGGGTTGTTGTGAAGAGCAAATGACATATTTGTAAAGCTCCTGACATAAAGCAGGCACTTGATAAATGTTTATTCCCTATTCACTTTCCTCCTCTCCTGGCTGACCCCCTGCTGCAAACATGGACTTGGATGGGTATACAAATAATGTAGTTTTTCTTTGGATTTCTTGATTGTTATTTGGTTTACCCGTGCTCTTAATAAAATCTTTTCTGTAGTATTTAGGTGGACCTAGACAGTTCTGCTCCTGTTCAGTTGCTTGTCTTTACTGGAAGTGTCTGTTTGTTGTGAATTGGTTTTATTCAGTTATCTTAATGTAAAAAATGCCTTGAAATTTGGGTGACTGGATAAGTATGCTTAGGTAAATATCAGGTATCACAAGATCGTTTTGAATTTGAAGGAAACTTAAGACCTCATCTTGAAATTTTAAGAACATAGTTCTTACAATAAGGGAGTTATTTATAAAGCAGAACTGACCTCTGATAAAATGATGAGCTCTTTATCTAAGAATTGTCCCTGAAATATTTTTCTTTTGTTTTTCAGGAAAATGTCTGAAGAATTTTCAGTAAGTTAATCTATTTATCTTTTATAACATCTTTGTGAATAATTGAGCTTCCTTTAAAAATACATATAATCATGGCTTTGGAGACATCTAAATATTTTCAAAAAGATGTTTTATTATTCTTTGGTCTCACAATAAATAAGTTAAAAAGAACTGTAAAGTTTCTCTGGGAAATTTTTATTTGAAAAAGTACCTACTGTATTAACGTTTTTAATGTAATGGTGGTGGTGGTGTTTTTGAACAATTCTGTTACTAATGTAAATACCTTAAAACTTTAGAAGATGCCACATGCAGGTTTTTAGTTGATGGGATTTTTTTCATCATTGCATTTTTCTATTGAGAAAGATAAGCAAAATATGGTTCTGCTTTGTTTTCTAGTTGGCAGATGCTCTACCAGAACATTCGCCTGCAAAAAATTCCACTGTGAGCGGTACAAAACCTGGTCAGCCACCACAGGGCTGGCCAGGTTCCAATCCTTGGAATAATCCAAGTGCTCCACCTTCTGTGCCATCTGGACTTCCACCAAGTGCATCATCTTCCAGTGTGCCTTTTGGACCTACACCCACCGGAATATATCCCTCAGTGCCTGCTGGACCACCCCCTGGACCGCCAGCACCCTTTCCTCCCTCTGGACCATCTTGTCCTCCACCTGGTGGTCCTTATCCAACTCCATCTGTGCCAGGTCCTGGCCCTACAGGGCCATATCCTACACCAAATATGCCTTTTCCAGAGCTTCCAAGACCATATGGTACACCCACAGATCCAGCTACAGCTGGTCCCCTAGGGCCATGGGGATCCATGTCTTCTGGACCATGGACACCGGGAATGGGAGGGCAGTATCCTACACCTAATATGCCATATCCATCTGCAGGGCCATATCCGACTCCTCCCCAAGCGCCAACGACAGCACCACCTATTCCATGGGGAGCTGTCCCACCTGGAGCATGGGGACCACCAGCGCCAGCTCCATTCCCTGCACCTATGGGATCATATCCTGCACCAGGACTCTATCTTACTCCTAATAATCCTTTTCAAGTGCCTTCTGGACCTACTGGTGCTCCACCAATGCCCGGTGGTCACCAGGTGAGTATTTAACTTAATATTTTATGATAGTTACAAGGAAATAGTTGAAGATTACTTTCTCTCCAGCCATTGTGGAAGTTAGGGTGGGCAATATTTAGGACTCCTGGATTTATTTGTGGGATTGGGGTTGGGAGATGAGAGGCAGGAGGAAGAATATTATGACTGTATTGTTGCCCTTCCACTGCAGAACTAGAGAGGGGAGGATTCCAGGTATAAAGTACCTAGTGAGGAGTTTTACAACTCTTGAGGCAAGTGCTGATTTTTTATGTTAGTAGTTTAATAAAAGAAAAATGAACTAATAAAATAAAATAAAAAAATTTTTATTAAAAGCATTTAATTGGAAGCAAGGCCAAAATAGCCTGGTTTCGGTATTTTAACTTTTGTGTCTCATGGACTTCATTGGAAGCCAAAAGAAGATAGAGAAGGCCTGTGTCTGTGATTTCATCTCTCAGTCAGTAAACATTTACTAAGCGCCTACTATGTGCCGGGCACTGTTCTAAGAGCTGTGGGGATACAGAAAGATGCAAAAGACAGTACTTGCCCTCAGTGAGCTTCATACCAGCAAATATGTACAAGATAGATAGGAAATAATGAAAAGAGGGAAGACAGTAGATTTAAGAGGGATGTTGATTTCTGTAGAAGATAGAATTTCAGTTATTTATACTGTCTTCAGCTACTTATCTGTTGGCACTGAGAGACTTGGCCTCTGTCACGTAGCTGTTTGTATCAGATGGAGAGCCCATATTTTCTTAACTCCAAGGTGACAGTCTTTCTGGTCACCATACCTACCATGTTGCCTTTCATGGGCTTCATGACAGAAAATGTTTTATATGCACACACAGTAGTATTTTTCTCACTACAGAATTTAGTCTTTGCTCCCCCCCCCCAAATAAAGGAAAATCCTAGTCTTTGGATTTTTCAGATTAATTTTGGTGTACGAATCCAATTGTTAATTGTCGATGTACAGAATAAGCCAATTACCATACATTTTTAAGCCACCAAAAGTGGCAGTATTGATAACACTAACTTGAACAAAATCTAGAATTTGACACACCCACCCTTTTTTTCTTGCAGTCTTACCATTGAGTTTTTGATGGACAATGAGACGACTCTCTACTTTCCAGAGAATGTGTATGTATGTATGTGTGTGTATACAATATATATGTGTGTGTGTGTGTGTATATATATATATATATATATATATATATATATATATATATATACACACACATACACACACATATATACATTAAAAATTCTGGTTTCAGTGCTCTTGGGACATTTCACCAAAAGGGTCTCAGACATCTCAAAGAAGACTCGGCTCTTGGACCTGGATATACACTTGGAATAATTAGAGATAAAATCGTAAAATTATTCATATGTATTTTTCATTTGTTGTACTAAGGGAAATCAGAGTAATTAAGTATATTGACTAACTCTTGGTAGAATTTGTGGAATATTCATTTTTTTAAATTATGAAACCACACACTTAAGAAGTCTGTTGATGTGGATACTAATTACCTATAACTTGTTGGAAATGATTTCAAATATTTTCTTTGACATCTTTGTTTCCCTGAATAAATATATTTCAGACGAATCATTTTGCCATATGTTTAAAAAAAAAAAAGACCAAATAAATACCTCTGAGCATTTTGAACAGTATTGTCTACAGAGTAAATAAACTTTGTGCTCCTGGGTTATAATTCTGGAGTAAATGTTTAAAAATATGAGTTATGAATTAGTGCTTATCAAGTCTTTGAGAGTGTATTTGCTAGTGTGCATATCTTGAACACTGAATATTAAATATTCTTGCTTTCTACCAGCTATCATTCTGAGTTATTTTAGTTTTGATTTTAGTAATTTGAGTTGTAATTTTAAAATTAGTCATCCACAGACCTTGCCAGAAACCTTGGTTTATTCATGCCAACATATCCAGTGACATAGCCTCTGTGGTGACTCTTGATTATGTGATGAGTTATTCACATTATTGAGGTTGAAGAGCTCAAGAAGGAGGGGACCTTTATCTCCCCTACCTTGTATCCCAAAGAAGAGCCCGGGGAATTGATTTGCAACAGCAGGTTTTCTCATTCCTACAGAACTTTCATGGTCCCTGGGGATTCCCGTAGTTCCAAAATGGAACTTCCCTTCGTACCTTCCTTGATCTGGAGAACTGATGACGTTCTTGACGTCTTCCCCAATGATGTACAGCTAATTTATCATATTTATAGAACCTTATGTATTGAAGACATATCAATTCTCCCAAAGTCTCATAAACACATATCAGTTGTTTCCTGCCAGGTATTTTAGTTTGCATTCTAAAATACTTGAGGCAAAAGAATTTGAGTGCCTTCCCTTAAAAGAATGATTTCTAAACACTGATATCAACCATACACGTTATATGAAGAGTATATGAGACATGGAAGTAATGTTTCTATTTGACTTCAACAAATGTTTATTCTGTCTGGGAAAAACTGCAGGCTGCTGCTTCATCTCAACCACATTGCCAAATTTGGACTAAACTTTTTTGACAGCTAAAAGTGAACTTCAATGAGTATATTTGTCAGGCCATTTAAAAAACTTAATGTTCATTACTTAGTAATGAAAAATGTTGAGCTATTGAATAATTATTGGAAAAAGACATCCATGCTGGGGCACTGATACCTTTTAAAATCTAAATATTTAAATTACTCTTAAAATTTTAAGAATACCAAATGCTGCCAATTTAACATTATAACTACCTCTTTGAATAAAGTAGATTAATACCTTTTCAGAGTAGCTTTCAGTGATCCCTTATTTTAAATAAACTGAAGGAATTTCAAACATTCTAGGTAAGAATGAAGTGGGAAAGTAATTTGGTATAACATGAAGCCTGGAACTTTGTGTATTTTAAGACTGGAGTATATCATGTATTAGGTTAGAGCCAGTAGCTCTTCTAAAATGTGGTAGAATTATATTTTTCACACCTTTGCAGTCCAAAGTGATAAGAGAATTTGGGGAGCCTTTTGGCAGTAGCAGTTGGAGAATCTAACCTATCTCTAATGTTCTAGGTAAAAAAGAATAAGAGATAGCTTACTTCCTTCAGTCCTTCAGTTTACTGGAATTCTTTATTGAAATACCAACACCTCTGTAGGTAGTCTCTGCTTAACTAACAACTGAAGTATTAGCTGATAACAGTTTAAGGGAGAATAAGAAAAAGGATCTTGTAGTGGAGGGTAGAACTAGGTAAGATGGGATATAGGGGCATGAGAAAAGGGGCTAACTAAAGTGGGAGGGCCTCAAAGATGATTTGCCTTTCTCATTTTGCCTAAGGCTGGCTACTGCTAAAAATCCTTTGGGTTTGTCCTTTTATATTTTTCTACACACACACACACACACATGCACACTCTTCCTTAGATTAGCTACTGGCCTACTAGATAAGTATGTAAAAATCCAGTTGAAGGAAGAAGTGAGGAAAGTTTGGGTATCTGCTAGTATAGAGTTGGAAGATCCCAAAATATAGAACAAATTATTGATGCCTCCAGATTTTATTAGCTTGAAACTTTTAGGTAGCTAAGACTCCCAACTCCATTTTACACTGTGTACCATAGTGCTCAGCATGATCACAGTAGTTCCCCTTCCTCACCAACACTTTTCAACTTGGCCTATCCTTTTTGTATGTGACAATAGAGCTCTGCTTTTATCATGCAAATCCATGGATAGAATGGAATTTGCTTTGCGGTAAACTTTGCTGGCTGTGAGGAATGTCTGTAATCATGTTGATGCACTTTCTCTGAAAGTATTTTCCAAAATGGAAGCTCAGAACTTAGGGGAAAGCAGAGGCCAACAAATGTTTTTAGAGAAAGAATGAAATTGAGGAATAAGGGAGATTTTGGAACAGGAAGGAAATTGGAAAAATGAATTTATTCTCAGAACAATTTTTAGGCAGTAAGTTTAGGGTATAAATAGGGCATGTTGAACTAATGAGAATTGGTGTAGATGAGACTTGTGATTAGAATATCAAGAGAAGCTGTTTAGAGCTTGGGAAATTGAACTGGATTGGCCTCAATTTGGTCTCAGTTTTTAAAAAGCATGAATGCTGGGTCATTCCATAGTTGATAGAGACAATTATGATGTTTAAGTGTATGATTTCTGGAATGGAATTCTGAATTTGGGAACAAATGTACGAACGATTATTGAGTTTGGAAATGATCAGATAATATCACCCCCAAAACGTGAAATTATAGGAAATGATTTTTTAAAGTTTTTAAAAAAAATTTGTTACTGCATTTCTCCTTAGACCTGCCTATGTAAACCTCAACTGTAAAAGGGACTATAGTATATTAAAGGTGTTTTTGGAAAGGACAGTCTTCCCTAGATAGGAGTCAATCTAGCATCCTTTAATATTTGTGAAGGAAGTATGTTCAGCTACCCTGTCCTATTTTGTGAGGAGTCATTTGTTGATTATTGGGCATTCATAGAAGAGATTGGAATTAGCTATCCCTATTGGAGAACAGACAAGGTGAAGTAGGTATGAATTTTGTGTTATTTCTACTCTTCGAGCCTGGTTTTTTGAAATAAAAATTTTTTGCCTGTCATTTTACCTTGCCAATAAAATACTCAATTGGAAAAATATGCAAATGGATATAGTAACTCATGGCTTAAATTTAAAACACATTCAGTACTGTGGTGCTTAACTTGCATAACTCTCAGTTCCCTATGCTTCATGATAATCCACGCCAATGTTTCCTTTCTTCACCCTGAATAATAGAATTGGATTTAATTTCACAGTTTAAAAGTAAACACTGTAGTGATTAATCACTGAAGAATTAAACATATTTTAAAAGCATCAACTTAAAATCAGGTGAGTATATTTGCATGACTTATCTTTTCAAATAATATACTATGGTTTAGTTTCATGGAACAATGTATGAATAATTATAACTAGATTATAATGTAATCTTAAGAAAATATTTGGAATTGAAGACAAACACTATCTTATCTGTATAATTTCAGCCAAATATAAGATTGCTAATGGAGTATTTGATGCTGTAGTTATCTTGAAAGTAGACTGTGAAATTAAAACTCTTCTAATTAAAGTTAATGTTGATGTAAGGGAAAATTTCCTAATAATTAAAAATGTCCAAAAATGGAATGGGCTGTCTTGCAGGGTAGTGAGTTCTCCATCACTGGAAGTCTTCAAATAGAGATTAGATGACCATATCTCAGGATGCTTACTTATCAGGGATGTTGGAGAGGGAATTCCTATTCAGGTATGGGTTAGACTAGTTGACTTTTGAAGTCCCTTCCAACTCTGAGGCTTTTTAAGGTCTAAGAAAGTTTTCTTCCCTTCATCATTCCCTTGGTTGCTAATGACAAGGATGACACTGTTTAATATATGCTAGTTTGTCGTTATGTAAACACAAGAGTGTATGCCCTATAAAATCTGTATTTTTCTTGTATTGTGATTTTTGTATTTTTTTTTACATCAGATTTACTGTTCAGTTGTGTATACATTTTAGGTTAAACTGCCTGAGATGTGATTTGAGACATACTGCATTTGTTTGTATTTGAAATGTAAGCAATCACAGCTTGAAATGATAGATGTTATCACCTGCTGCTGTATTGTGTATAAGCAAAGGCAAATGTTGCTCTAAAGTAAGAAGTAATTATAACTAGAAATAGGCTGTAGATGTGATACTTCATACTTTGAAATAGACTTGTTTTGCTTTTGTATATTCCTGAAAATTAAAAAATGTATTTTCATGATTTTTTAGTTTTTCGTTTTTCCTTATTCTTTTACTTTTCTCCAGAACTGTTTAGGTCACCCGCACCTCTGTTGAACCCCTGGCTTTGGTTTTTCCTTTCAGGGACTAGGGCTCAAAAGGTGTCAGCTGGTGCTTTAAAAAAAAAAATCAAGGTTTTCGTATACATAGAGTCAGCACTCAGGCATTGGGGAAGGCTGCCTAGTTCTATTTCTTCCCTTTGCCCCCTCCTTGGACCATAAATTGCTTGTTCTTTTGAAATATCTGGCATTTACCTTTTAAAGGCTGCCTTGGTGATTATTTTGTATTTCACCTTTATAAAAATGTTAAAGGTAGAAACTTACATAGATTTTGTGTCAGAATTACTATATTGATAATTATGGCAGTGCATTGCAGAAAACAGTTAACAAAGTATGACCCAAATTGTCATTTAATATCCACAATGATGCAGCCAACATTCCTAATAGCTTCAGCTGCTGCTATTTTTAAGTAATTGAATGACAGAGTCAGCGGCAGCACAGTCTTTAGAAAGGCAGCTCTTTTTACCTTGAGGATTAGAATGTAATGTAATTGTGTATTAGTTTTTTTGAAGTGCAATCTGCCCTTCATTTTAAAATCCTCACTAAAATTGGTTGTTACAAATGGAAAGTTAAGGAGGTGTGTAGGGTCAAGAGACGTAGAAAATAGGAACAGCTTCACTCTGAGGATGAGAGATGTCAGTTTCACTGTCATAAGTGAACATTAAAAAAAAAACATCTTTTGTTTTTAAAAAATCCATTTTGGGGGCAGCTAGGTGGCGCAGTGGATAGAGCATCAGCCCTGAAATCAGGAGGACGTGAGTTCAAATGTGACCTCAGACCAAACACTTGATATTTACTAGCTGTGTGACCCTGGGCAAGTCGCTTAACCCCAATTGCCTAAAAAAAATAGAAAAATCCATTTTCAAATACAGCCCTCTCCCCTCCCACACCCAGAAAGCCTTGTTTTATAACAGATTAAGAAAAGATAGGATAGTTAATCAGTTCAGCAAAATCAACCACATTCACTATGTGATAGTATAGATAATATTTTATACATCCCTTTCAACTGCAATGAGGGAAGGGAGGGGAGGTGTGTTTTTTTCAACTCTGAGTTGAAAGCTTAGTCATTAAAATGATACAACATTCATTTTTATTTCATTGTTTTTTCAGTTTATATTGTTGGCATGTCTGTTTTGCTGGTTCTACTTGTTTCATTCTGCAAGTGTGTATCAGTTCATAAATCTTTCTACTCTTTTTTTCTGAATTCTTCATATTTGTTGTTTCCATTCATGTACCACAGTTTAGCCATTCCCCAATAATGGGTGCCTACTTTGTTTTCAGTTCTTTGTTTCCAGAAAAAGCGTGGCAATGAATGTTTTGGTATATGTGAGAGCTTTCTGTGTATGACTTCTTGGGGTATATACCTGTCACTCTGGGTCAAAAAGTATGGGCATATTAGTATAAGTTGATAACTTTATTAGAAATCCCTGAATGAATAAGCTACAGATTAAATCCTATTGCAACAAATATCTAATAATAAAAACATCCCAGGTAACAGTCAGTGATTGATTAATTGGAATGTATTCATTACAACAAAGTTCCAGAATCCAAGAAATAACTTGAAATGTTCCTTGAAGTTCATATTTCTTTAGAAATCACTTATTTCCCATTATTAAGTTTAATTAATATAACATTTTCATATACAAGGAAAGGAAAAAGATTGTAAATGATGTGAATCTATTATGTAAAACTTTTTTTAAAAAAGCACATATTCTACCATCATAGTTCCAATATTGCTGTTTGTGTCCCCTTTTACTTTTTTTTATTACTGTCACAACCTCATTCCTCTAAAAAGCTTCTTCCTTACAAAAAATAAAAAATAAAAGCCATGTCCCACTTTATGATAAATAGAATCAAACAGCGTCTGAAAATGTACGCTTCACTTCAAATCCCCAATCAGGCAAGAGAAATGGGAAGCACTGTTTATCTTGAATCCTTTGAAGTCATGATTGGTCATTGCAGACCAATTGGTCATTGGTTTTTCAGTTTATTTACAATGCAATTAATGTATACATTCCGCTGATTCTGCTCACTTCACTCTGCATCAGTTTATATATATTTTTCCAGCATTTTCTGAACCTATCCTTCTCATAAGTGAAGTACCTTTCCATTACATTTCGTGTGCCATAATGTATTCCGCATTTCCCAGTTGATGGACACCCTCTTTGTTTCCAATTCTTTGTCACAACAAAAAGTACTGCTATAAATATTGTTGTGCAGTTTGATCTTTTTCCTCTTTCTTTGGTGTTTTTGGGGTTTTATGCGTAATAGTATTATGGCTGGGCAGCTAGGTGGTACAGTGGCTAGAGTGCCAGGCTGGGAGTCAGGAAGACTTATCTTTCTAAGTTCAAATCCAGTCTCAGACACTTAATACCTGTGTGACCCTCAGTTTACCTCAGTCTCCTCATCTGTAAAATGAGCTGGAGAAGGAAAGGCAAACTACTCCAGTACCTTTGCCAAGAAAACCCCAAACAGGATCACGAAGAGTTGGGCACAACTGAAAAACAACTGAACAAAAAGTGTTAATGGCTGGATTAGAAGATATACATAGTTTAATGACATTTTGGATATAGTTCCAAATTACTTCTACAATGATTTGGATTAATTTATAGCTCCACCAATGGTGCTTATTTTTCCTCCATTTTTGCTACTCTGATGTGAGGTAGAACCTTGAGAGTTATTATAATTTATATTTTTCTTATTACTGATTTGGAGTATTTTTTCATGTTAGAGTTGGTGGTAGATTGGCTTTTTTCTAAGAATATCCTTTTCATATCCTTTGACCATTTGTTGAAGAATGGACTTAAGCTTTTTTTTTGTATGATCTGATTTACACAGGTTATAAATAATAAAGAGAATTAAAAACTTTAATGAAGATAAGTAAAGAACTTTACTGAGACTTGGGTGATATATGAATCCTGACTGGAATAAAGCAATGGAAAGCTCTATGTAGTCCAAAAGAGTTTATATAAAAGGTAATAAGGGTAGCATTATTTATCTAGGAAATATATACATGAGGAAATTAATGAGCCTGGGACTGAAAGCATGATGGAAAACAACAGGGTGAGGATCCACAAGGAGAAACAAAAACAGGATTGTTGGGCAGCGTATCCAGCTGGTCATCCACCCAGAGCTAGTAAATGAATGATTAAGTTCTTTGAAATAGATCATGAAGCTGACTCAGAGGTAAGATAGATGAGTGACAGACCTCGTGTGAACAACTTCCGAGTTCTCTGGTAAATGCAAAGCGACTTACAAATTCACTTTGCCTCAACAGTTTCATTTTTCAAATGGTGGAGCAAGTTACTAGGGGATCTGTTATTCTAGACCTGATTCTGACTAAGAAAGAAGCAGATACCTGAAATAGAAACAACAGGAACCTTAAGAGGAAGTGGTAGATATGGAAGGAAAAATAAGGTGTGGTCTAATCTCCACTGTAAATTTTGAGAGCAGATGTCGAAGTTCAGATAAATTATAGGTAGGCCTCTGACCTACTTTGCTCAGGAGCAATGGGCCTAGAAGATCATAAATTTAGAGTTGGAAGGCTGTCTATATAGTCCAACCCTCATTTTGTAGATATGGGGCTGAGGGCCACAGAGGTTAAGTAACTTACCTGTGGCCTACAAAGTAGTGAATGACAATGGAGATTCAAACTGATGTCCTCTGACCATGTCCAGTGCACCCTATACCATTTATACTTTTAATGATGATGTAGTAGTATTTGACATTAATACAGTGCTTTGTGGATTACAACACATCATACATGTATTTAATGTCATCCTCAGAGCAACAATAAGCAATGTATTATCTCCTTGATTAGAATGTAAGCTCCTCAAGGTCAGGGGTTGATTTTGCATTCCTTTTATATCTCTAGTCCTTAGCACAGTGCCTGTCATTTGTTGTTCAGACCTTTCAGTTGTATTTGACTCTTTGTGTCCTCCTTTGGGATTTTCTTGACAAAGGTACTGAAGTGATTTGCCATTTCTTTTTCCAGCTCATTTTACAGATGAGGAAACTGCAGCAGACAGGGTAAAGTGACTTGCTTGAGGTCACACAGCTAGTAAGTGTCTGAGGTCAGATTTGAACTCAAAGATGAGTCTTCCCGATCAGTCTCTGCCCTCTATCCACTGTGCCACCTAGCTGCCCTGCTTGGCATTTAGCAAGTGCTCAATCAATGCTATTGACTAACTTCTGACTAAATTCAGTCTTCTTCCAGCTGCATCACAGCTTGCTTAGATAAGGGAGAGAAAGATGCTATCCTAGTCTATTGCAGCTGCTTGAGAGTGAACAATGATAGAAGAGGTCTTTATTTGGCATATTTTAACTCACAGAAGGAAAGGCTCAAGGAGAGATGCCTATATGGGAGCACAGAGTGAGAGAGAGGAATGAGGGAAAGACTCGTGGCAGCACCTGACACCTACAAATTAAGATGGGATATGACCAGGGCTTTGAGAATGATTATCTTTTTAGTCTGGATGACTAAGTTATGTGAGAGGCCATCCCGGACTTAGTGCATCCCAGTTACACCAAGGGCTCACCATTCCTCCCAGTTTCCTCCATGGGATGTCTAGGTCCACTTGAGTGGAAGGGCAAGCAGGCTTTTGCTCACACCATTCCAGCTGGTTTCCCACCTCAAATATCACAAGCAAGGAGGTGCCATTTGGGGAGGTCATGCAGGCCATGAAGTTTCCAGTACAGAAAGTTCCAGGCAAAGATTTCAGAAATTGGAGGGGTGCCACATTAGGTGGGGAAAACAGAGACAGCTTGCTACAAAGAGAGCTAGGCTCATAAAAAGAGACTTTTTTTCATTATTGTGGATGGGCATCAAATTTACTAAGCTATTTAGATTTTTAAAACATGTACAGAAGACAGGAATGAAGGCAGTTAAGTGAGGCCAAATATAAAAGAGTTGTATGGTCTTTTA